AATCAAAACCTCAATGAGATACCACCTCACACCAGTCAGAATGGCTAAAATTAACAAGTCAGGAAACGACAGATGTTGGCAAGGATGCGGAGAAAGGGGAACCCTCTTACTCTGTTGGTGGGAAGGCAAGCTGGTGCAGCCACTCTGGAAAACAGTATGGAGGTTCCTCAATAAGTTAAAAATAGAGCTACCCTACGACCCAGCAATTGCACTACTGGATATTTATCCAAAGGATACAAACATAGTGATTCAAAGGGGCACATGCACCCCAATGTTTATAGCAGCAATGTCCACAATAGCCCAAATATGGAAAGAGCCCAAATGTCCATCGACAAATGAATGGATAAAGAAGATGTGGTATATACATATAATGAAATATTACTCAGCCATCAAAAAGAATGAAATCTTACATTTGCAACCTCATGGATAGAACTAAAGGGTGTTATGCTAAGTGAAGTAAGTCAATCAGAGAAAGACAATTATCATATGATCTCACTCATACGTGGAATTTGAAAAACAAAACAGATGAACATAGGGGAAAGGAAGGAAAAATAAAACAAGACGAAATCAGAGAAGGAGGCAAACCATAAGAGACTCTTAATTCAGAAACAAACTGAGGGTTGCTGGAGGGGAGGTGGGTGGGGGGATGGGGTAACTGTGTGATGGGCATTAAGGAGGGCACTTAATGTAATGAGCACTGGGTGTTGTATGCAACTGATGAATCACTAAATTCTACCCCTGAAACTAATAATACACTATATTTTAATTGATTTTCTAATAAATAAATACATAAACAAAGAAGGAAAATAAATTAACATAGATTTAGTTATTATTCTTGGGCGTATGACCACAGAGTTATAATTAAACATTCTTGTAAACAAGTCTTGTAAAATTACTTTAAAAATAATTAATTAAAATAAAATAAAATAAAGAATTTTACATTTATGATTTGGGTTAAAGACTGCTAAGGAAACTTACTGTACATGTTCTCTTTTGCTCTTATTTCTCATTAGTGTCAATATTGGGGGAAGAACGGTGAAAATGAATGTACACTTAGTTACATGATGCCTATTATTGATAAATTAACAACTGCCTCAACATAATTATCCCTTTATGGCTACTGAAGAAGTTTGGTAATAAATTATTAACTAATTTGGTTCTTTTAAGATTTTATTTATTTATTTGAGATTAAGAGAGAGAGAGAGCATGAGCAGGAGAACAGGCAGAGGGAAAGGAGAAAGCAGACTCCCTGCTGAACAGGGAGCAGGATGCAACTCGGGGCTCCATTCCAGAACCCTGGGATCATAACCTGAGCTGAGGGCAGACACTTAACCAACTGAGCCACCCAGGTGCCCCTTATTAATTTGAGTTTTTAAATGTATTTAGATCTAGACCTATGATTTTAAGCATAATTTTATGAAGTACAGGTAGTTAATAGAGCTTTAATTGATAATTAAAATTATAGCTCAATGACATCTTTCATCAGGAAATTTTTCCCATGGAAAAGGTATGCATAGATTTTTTTTTTTTTTACTCTAGGCTCAAGAGTTTGTTGCAGTTACACAATCCTGCTGATTTTCACAATTTATCTTTGATATATGGAGATACGTGCCTCTATTCTTATCAGTAGAAGAGACCTAGAATATAGGATTTGTTCATAACCGTTTTTAAAAATAAATTTTAGAACACTTTTAGATTTATAGAAAAAGAGGACAGAGTTCTTGAATACCCTACCCTTTGTATACTCTACAGTTAATATCTTACATTACTATGGCACAGTTGTCACAACTAAGAAATTAACATTGGTATTTCACTTTTAAATAAATTCCATATTCAAATTTCATTAGTTTTTCCTTGATGTCCTTTTTCTGTGCCAGAATCTTGGATGCCCCATTACTGTATACAATGAGGTTCACTGCGTGCTGTGAAGTTTAAAGGGCTTTGACAAATGCAGGTATCACGTATCCAGCATGACAGTACCATACAGATGGGTTCCACCACCTTAAAAAGCCCTCTGTCCCCAATCTTTTGAGAGTTCCAAGAGGATCAGTTTTCAGACTGATATTTCAGCTTGATCTCTGGTGGGAAAAACCTAGGCTGTGAGTTTTTTCAAGCAGTGGTTCTCAATCCTAGCTGTACACTGGAATTACGTGGCAACCTTTAAAAAATACTAATGACTGGTCCTAACTCCAGATCCTGGTTTCATTGGTCCCTCCTGATTTTATTGGTCTGACATGTGGGCCTGGACATTGAGATTTTGAAAAGCTCCCTAGATGCTCACAATGTGCAGTTAAGATTCAGAACCGCTGATCTTGCATTCATCTGTGTCGTGACTGGATTCAGCTGCCTTTTGATAACAACACAAATGATTAATTCATGCATTCTACATCACTTTGGAGGGATACTATGAACTATCATGTAAGTTTTTTAAATAAGTAATATAGCAAGGATGAATTTCACATGCTAAATAATCATGTATGCAAAAACACTATTTACTCTCTAACTGAACCCAAAATGAACTTCAATTTCTACTGCTGAGGGCAAATTTAATTTTGACAAGTCAAAGGGACTCACCTTAAAACTTACTTCACCTTAAAACTCACTTCTTAAAATTCAGCTTGGCCCTCTCCCCTTCTCTGTCCATTTTTTTCCCTGCCCCATCTCGGTTTGAGTCCAAGTAAGCTCGAGTGGCATGGTCACGGGGAAGGCACATCTGGTTGGAGGAGGCTTCTGTAGTTATTTTCTGTTTGATCAACCTGGGCAGTGCCAGGTGATCTGTTCTGGGTGTTCCACCATGTTTCAGGTTGGTTTGGCCATCACCTCTGCACTCTAGGGTACTGCTAATCCTCTGACATCCAGCCACTTTCCCTGCCCAGCACTTGTTTTATGGCCTCTACCTAAGTGTCTGTAAAGGATCCCCAGTCTCTAGGTTTTGGTGACTACCTGGTAAGCCACCTGCTTTCAATTCTCAGCTACCAACTGTGCCCCTCTTCAGGTTGATATGGGAACCTTGCAAACATTCTCCACACCCCTTGGCCTCTCTCAGATCTGCTCTAAGCTTAGATCTGCCCTGAAACCATTTCTGCTCTACTTTAGTTGCCCCTTCCCAGAATTCTTGACAGAATATAGGTATACAAGTGCTCTCTGTCCAGGGATTCCCAAATCCCAAATCCATCACAACTCTCCAGAGTTTCAACCCCTAAGAGAGGCCAAGGAACCAAGCCCCATCTTTATATCTAAAGTCTCCTTTTTCCTCTTCCAGTTTCTTCTCACAGTTTAAAGAAGGCAAGAAGAAAAAACTGAGTCACATTATTACTCATTCCCCCCCACCCTATGGTCTACATCATGAATTCTATGCTTGCTCTCCTCTAGGTTCTGCTAATGATACACAGTGCCAAGGTTTTAGAATTTAAAAAACTTTTCTCAAGAATCTTTCTCAAAATAATAGGCTTCTACACTGTTGCTTCTCTTGTGTGTTTTCTAAAAATCCATCCAGAAATCCAGTCTCCTTCTGTGTTCTGGGCTATACCTGCTTTCTGCTCCACTGCAGTGAAAGACACTGACTAAAGTGACAAAGGACTTGAGGCATCAAGAGAATAGTGGCAAAGAAAAATCTCCATTGATGTCTCAGAAGAATACCCTCTACCATCTTACCATAATATGATATGGACCTGCTACTCCACATGAATGTCAATTTGCAGTTGGATAAATTTGGAAGGCAAAATAATTTCAGTGCAAGTTGTAATAAAGATCAATAAGAGGTACCTGCATTTAAAGGCACATAGATCTTTCCTCACATGTGACAGAATATACTGAACATGTATTTTAGGGTTGAATAAAAGCCCCAGACCACACGCATTCGAGACCTCAGGACACAGAAGAAGAATATCACATCTATTCTGTATATATTCCAGGAAGATTTCACTGCCAAGGTGACAGGTGGGGATAGCTATCCAGAAGAGCTTTAGTCAAAGTCTACTGAGATTTAAAAAAAAAAAAGACAAATCAAAGCAACTGAAGTGTGAAAATCCCCTGGAAAAGCAGATTATTAACTCTGTGCTCAGAATCAAAAGATGAATAACCAGACTTTGTCATTTGTTTCATCCTCAGCTGGAAAGGCAGCTAATGATGCAGAATGAAATGAGAGAAAGACAAATGGCCTTGCAGATTGCTTGGTCTCGGGAATTCCTCAAATATTTTGGAACTTTTTTTGGCATTGCAGCCATCTCTTTAACAGCTGGGTATGTTTGCTATTTACTTTAAATTTTTCTTAAATAATTTGCTTCTTTTTGTTTTTGACATTATCATATTACTATCAAGTTGGCCAAGATAGGACTTTGGTCCAAATAGTGTATATATAACCCCTTATAGCTTAGCACTTGGAAGTGACTGTAGAACCAGGGTAGAAATAGTCAATTCTACCTCTAGTTCCTCAGATTTCTTCCATCCTTGTCACCATTATGTAAGTTAGAGAGAGGACTGACTTGACACCAAGATAGAAGAAGGCCTCTGCAAATTTATCTCCATAATCCCTAAGGGGCAGATATCAATACTTAACCATTTTTTAAATGAGTAATCTGAGCCTCAACATCAAACAAAGATGGGCAAATCACAAATTCTGCCCTTGAGAATTGCAGAATCTGGTGAGGCGTGGTGGGTAAGAAAATCCTATTTCCATAGGAGACTCAAATGAACTAAGTAACTTCTAAAATGGAGAACATTCTTTGAAAAAGCAGGTAATTTTTTTTTCATTGAGTATAGAGATACGTATTTACAGGTCATTCTTAATATTTTTTTTCTTTTTTGTTCTTGAACCAGAGCAATAAGAAGGAAGAAGCCAGCCTTCCTCTTCCCTATTATTCCATTAAGCTTCATCTTCACATACCAGTATGACTTAGGATATGGAACCCTTCTACAAAGAATGAAAGGTCAGTCTTTGATAAACTAGAATGTATTCCTGATTCATTTTCTGATTCAAGGATCCTCTTCTTATGACCCTTGATTTATGAACATTCTGACAAGACTGCCTCTCCCTGAGCTTCCAGTGACCAACATTTCTGCTCCCTCTCACAGCAGTATGCTGGAGTCAGCTCATTCCAGCTCACAAGAACTGACTATCAAATTTTCAGGAATTTGTAAGCTGGTTGTTAAATACAGTCATTATTAAACATTAAATTAGATAAACTTACAATTAAATAAATTACAAAAATAATATTAAATTATATTAAAAACAATGGCAATAATACTCAGAACTTACCAGTTTTTCATTATTTTACTCTTATCTGTACTCTGAAGTTATGTGTATCTGTCTTATGTATATCTATTGTACCTGTGTGATAGGGTACAGATACAATACACACACAATAAGATAACAGATACAACTCCAACTTCAGTGGCATGAAGTTGGTCGTGGTGGGAATATTTATACCAAGGAATCTGCAAACACCACAAAAAGGCTTGAATTATTATTTTGTTGACCGTCTAAGCCAGGGTTTGGCAAATTACGGCCTGCAGGGTGGCCACATGTTTTTGAAAGTAAAGTTTTATTAAAACAGACATGCCCATTCATTTCTGAATTGTCTATGGATGTGTTCCCATTACCATGACAGCTGAGTTAGTGCAACAGAGATATAAGGCCCCACAAACCTAAAATATTTACTGTCTGGCCCTTTTAAGAAAACTTGCCAACCCATAGTCTAGATTTAAGGAAGTGATGAAGCAAATGTTAAATACTGCAGATTATGCTTAAATTTTTGTTGTGTCAGTAGCCATTACATTGTGAATAGCACAAACAATTGAGGAAATATTCTCCTAACATTTAAAAACTGTTATCAGACTCAGCCAAGTTGTTTACATCATTTCCAAACAAAAAAATTTCCAACATATGTCACTGTTTCCACTTTTGTCCTATTTGTTAGGGTAAATGAAAATACCACCATCATTCATGTTGGAATTACAGTCCCTCATCAATTGCAACTATAGCTTAGCTATGAATATGAGAGTCCAACAGAAGTCAGTAAAAACATTCCGTGAGAATCCATTTGCTATGTGAAATTTATAATAAAGTATATTGAACATTTCATTATTTTTTATAAATTATATGCTACATCTATTTTATATAAGTAAAATTTATAATAAACTTATGTTCATAAGTTTATAACTCATGTACATTTGTTTTTCTGGAGAGCTGGTTGTTAAATAATCACCACACCATGCTGCTCTCACAAACTCTGGCTTTGACTGCCCTAGAAAATAGCACTGCTGCCACAGAATTCATTCCCGTACCAGGAAGACTCTCTCATGGGGCCCATGTCCCTTCTTCTCGAGGCTTCAACCCAAAGCATATTGGAAACTGTGCTTTCCCAAGCCTTCATTTTTGCCATCCTTTCCTCTCCTGGGCTATATCTATGGGCACATCACTATCGCTAAAGCTCTGTGGGCACCGATTTGGTACAGGAAAGGAGGAAGTGCCGACTCCTCTGCAGGTATTGGGAGTAGGGAGTAGAACATCTCTTTCCCAGGCCTAGGGAGATACAAGGATTATATGTTCTTAAAAATTCCCATTGAAGATGGAAATACATTTTCCACACAGAAACTCTGCTAAAAGGTCCATTGGGGTCAAGCACTATCGGTATCATAGTTCAGCTATATTGTGGACTGAACAGTTTTTTGTTGGCGGCCTAGCAAGTGATTTCTTGCATTATCACTATGGGAAAATGTATTTCGAGTTCTAAAACACTGATATACAAACTAAATTTTGGAGTCTAATCCCATTTTAAGCTGGAAACTAACTACACAACTGATTTGCCAATGTTAAAGCCCATTTCAATAACCCATTCACTTTCATGTTACTCATCTGCTTAAGAATTCATTAGTCTGAGTTCAACTCTGTTTCATTGTTTATATGGACATTAGAATTCTCAGTGCCTCATAAAAATTAAAATTAATCATCATTCACTTGAACATATTACTAATAGAGAACAAGTTTATTTTCTAGGAACATCATGATTGTATATTTGGGAAGTAATTTTATTACAGGTCCATCAGAGTCCACAGAACATACAATTTTAAACTTTTAAGACAGGTGGGAATTTCCTGTTTAAAAAAAATACAACTTTACAGTCAACCAGGAAACTTGCGGTATTTGAAAGTTTAGGTTTTAACATTTAGCCCTGTTAACTAGTGATAAACCCAAGATATACCCAGTCCTTGTTTGACGGACTTTATCATTAGCCCTTCTGCAAACACGTGAGAATTTGCCAAATGTGAGGCACATCACATGGAAACATTTAGTCAGTCGTTAGAGGCCTGTATGATCACATATATTTTTTAAAAGATTTTATTTATTTATTTGAGAGAAGAGCGCAAGAGAGCATGAGCTGGGGAAGGGGTGGAGGGAGAGAGAGAAGCAGACTCCCTGCTGAGCCGGGAGCCTGATGCGGGGCTCCATCCCAGGACCCTGGGATCATGACCTGAGCCGAAGGCAGACGCTTAACGACTGAGCCCCCCAGGTGCCCCATGTCTAATTACATACAATTTATAATGATTTTTATTTACTATTTAAGACTGAGCAAAAAAAAATATGATTGCAGATGGTTGAAATGTTATAATTTCAAAATTGTAGCCTGCCCTATTCTGTCTGGAGTATAACTTAATTGTGTGCTAAAAGAGAAGTCCTTAAAAAGAAACATTTGCTTTCATTCCCAAAGAAGGTTTATAGAATGTCAACAATGTATACTATAATTTTCTTTTAATTTTGCTAATTAGTCTTCAACTGGGCCTAAGAAATTACTCGCTGTTACTTGAAAGAGGAATTGTTTATAAAAATGCTTATACTTGGGGCGCCTGGGTGGCTTAGTCATTAAGCGTCTGCCTTCGGCTCAGGTCATGATTCCAGTGTCCTGGGATTGAGCCCCACATCGGGCTCCCTGCTCGACAGGGAGCCTGCTTCTCCCTCTCCCACTCCCCCTGCTTGTGTTCCCTCTCTCGCTGTCTCTCCATCAAATGAATCAATAAAATCTTTTTTAAAAATGCTTATACTTGTGTGCATGTATGTATACAGACTAAAGAACATTTAATATTATTTTGGGTATTTACAAGTGGTTTCAGGTAAAAGATAGCTTTCCTGAAAAAGCAGAAATTTATTAAGCTTTATTTTCTCTCATGTCACATATTAAGGGGCAATATAGCAAAGACTATATTTGGTTTCTCCGTCCCAAACCCCTCCAAACACAACTAATGCTTACCGTCCTGACTTTCCTTCAAGGAAAAAAATATTACTTGGTATTCTTTCTCTTCTACATCTTAAAATGCTGTCTTCTGTCAAGTAAAACCTATGGCATCTGATTGATCTCTCAAAGATTTATTTATATATTTACTTATTTTAAGAGAGAGAGAACACAAGCAGGGAAGAGTGGCAGAGGGAGAGGGAGAAGCAGACCTGCTGAGCAGGGAGCCCGATGTGGGGCTTGATCCCAGGATGACCTGAGCCAAAGGCAGAGGCTTAACCAACTGAGCCATCCAGGTGCCCCTGATTGATCTCTCTCTCTCTCAGTCTTCAGAATTCCTTTTTCCTCCCAAAGGAAAGAATGGCCTTCCTTTGGGAGATGGCTTCTCCTGAGGACAACAGGTGAAATATTTAAGTGTGAGATTTAGAGGCATGCCTCCACACAGTGTTACAGCTTGTCACTGGAATATAGCAATTTGGCTTTTTCACAAAACACTAATGACCTTTTTGTCACCTTGCATATTTCTGTACTTTATTTAAGGTGAAGCTGAGAACATACTGGAAACAGAAAAGAGTAAGTTGCAGCTGCCAAGAGGCATGATCACTTTTGAAAACCTTGAAAAAGCCAGAAGGAAACAGAGTAAATTCTTCATAGACAAATGAAATCATGTTTACCCACCAAATCTCAAAACACAATTATTGACTTGAATCATGGTTTTTACAAATTTTTAGATGATTGAGATTTTGATATCATGGATTTTATTTTAAAATATTAAAATGCAAGATGGGTTTTGTTAAACTATTTTAAAATAAAATTTATAACATCAGCACAAAATCATGGAGGTACGCTAAATAACTTTCATATTTCCTATGTATGTGTGTATTACAAATATCTAAATGTATAATTAATAAATTATATTGTTTTGAATTCCTGGAAGCAAATGTCCTGCTGCTCTCATTTCTCTGTCACACACACTTTCCCCATCACATTTATCCCACAGATACTTCTTTTATTTGGATTTGTCAATTGTGTCCTGTCTCCACATGATAGAAAACAACTAATATTAATGACTAACATGTATATTGTACTTACTATGGCTACTGTTCTGAGTGTCTTGCATATGTTATTGTAATCATCCCAACAGTCCCTTGAGGCAGGCATCATTTTATGGATGTGTAAACTAAGGCACAGAGAGCTTAAATTACTTGCCCAAGGTCATACATGGACAGAACTGAGACTTGCACCTAAATGGTTTGGTTCCAGTGAATATGCTCTAAAAGGCTTTGAAAAGCTTAGGTCTTTAACACATTCTGGACATGCAAATACAGCTGTGAAAGACAAAAGGTAAAAACATTCAAATGATGACTCAGGACAGAGTTGCTGAAGAGGTGGGAATGGCGGGACGTTGATGAGGATGCCTACACCTTTTTATTTTCACTCACTGGGAAACCTATACTTGTAACTGGGCTTATACCCCTTCCCACAGTTGTAACCCCTAAATATGATACAATAATTCCAAAGACATTTCCTGATACCTACTCTGTATCAAGCACTATTGTAGACACTAGGGCTACATGAGTGAATGAGAAGACAAGGTTATTGCATCCTAGGCAGTGGAATATGTTCTAGTAAGCGGTGGGAGAACTGAGGAAAGGAACAAATAAACATGGAGATAAAGAAGACCATTTCTGATGGTTATGAATGCTTCAGCAGAAATGAAACAGGATGATAAGAGAATGATTGGGAGGATGTGGGAGGGGGGACTATAAATCTGGGACAGTAGGGACTGCCTCTCTGAAGAGTAACATTTGAGCTGAGAGCTGAATGATGAATTAGCCAGTCCTGTGAAGAGCAGGTATGGGGACAGGGAAGGGATCTCTCCACAAAGGGAAGAGCCAGAGACTCAGAGACTTGGCATGGAGAAAGAATAGAAAGGTCAAGCGAAATAATAGGAGATGAAACCTGAAAGGAGAAAACAAGCATGAATACAATAGCCATTACCCTCAAGCAGCTGACCACATATCAACATATGGTTTTGATACAATCATAGTTGGAGAGAACTTTGGTTGAGGTCTTGAAGGATGCACTGAAGTACTCCATGGAGATAAGGAGGCAGGCTGGGCAGAAGAAGCTTGATTAAAGTGATTAAAGGTAAGACAAGGCTGTCAAGTCCAAGGATTTGCTGCTGGTTCCATTTGCCTGGGACAAAGGTTTCCTCCGGTAAGGGAGTTAAGAAATGAGCCTGGAGGCACAGCTTATCTCCTGACTAGCTCTGGGCTTAAGGAATTTGCACTCTATCCTGAGGGTAACCAGGTATGTTGCATGTGCGCGTGTGTGTGTGTGTGTGTGTGTGTGTGTTTAAGAATCTGCATTGGGGTTTCACTGGAATCAGTCTATTACAGGAGGAAGATCCCAGAATCTGCAAGAATAGCAAAACTGGGAAAGTCATTTGAGGTTGTGGAAGGAGAAGAAGGTAATTTCACTTCATTGAGTCATTAGCATGGATTTTTCTGGAGGATATAGGAAAGAAGTGATTGGGAAGCACACCGATGGTCTAAGGGATGCTTAAGATCCAGCACTGATTTGTGGACCATGCCAGAAGCTGGAATTGTATTTCTTTCCCCTTAAATTTAGTCATGCTGTCTAAACATTCCTAACTTGGTCCAGCCAGAGATCACCAAGAATGGGTTTGAGTGCCCTGCAAGGGTTGACTGGCTAAAGACCTTACACAGGATTTGTGTTGATATGCAACACAGCAGGATCTGAGCAACCTCTGGACCACCAGGCCATTCATTTGCATTTGCTTCTCACCCTGGCATTGACCCTGAACCCATTAATAATTGTTACTCAATAGAGCCTCTGCTAAATACACACATTCACATTTTTGTTTGCTCCCAATTGTGAGGCAAAAGTCAAAGCTATTAAATAATGGCTTTGCAATTCAACTATATTAAAATATATCCCAATTGTCTTTGGTATTATTGATTATTATCCAAGGCTTTTCCCCTTATTTATTATTAAATATAATAATACTATTATTATTATATTATTGAATATAATATTTATAATTGAATGGACAAATATTTTTGCTCTGACACTGTTGAGCTCTTTCTTAGCCATTATGTTAGTATTTGCATTAATTACTATTATTACTATTATTTTTTTTTTTCATAATATAGGAAAGTGATTTAATTTTTGGTTGTGTGTTTCCAACTGCCCAGTTTTGTCATGTTTTTGTTTTTGTTTTTTTTAAAGATTTTTATTTATTTGTCAGAGAGAGAGAGCACAAGCAGGGGGAGCAGCAGAGGGAGAGGGAGAAGCAGGCTCCCCACTGAACAAGGAGCCCGATGCGGGACTCGATCCCAGGACCCC